CCCATGATCCTGGACATTCCCGTGATGACGCGTCATCGAATCAGGTTGATCGTGAAGGGGTTACCCTTTTCCGCACACCTGGTGTGCACATGGACGCACCTAGGAGCACGGATTTCCGCACACCTGGGATGCACTTGAGTGGCCAGTCTGCACATGCATCTGTTCAGTACCGCATGGCGCATAAGGCATACGTCGTGCGGAAGCAGGCACATGATGATACCACGGATGAAGTCTCACCCCACAGTGTGGTGTGGACTTCAGGGGGAGAAGGAAAACGGTTCGCGATGGATTCGGGAGTCGATGGAGCAGACCCTGTAAAACAGGACTTACATGGAGCTGATGAAGTTGATGCAACCCAAGGAAGCGGAGATGCTGCAGCAGATGACTTCCCTGCAGCAAGAGTGATTGTACCAGAGGAGGTTGAAGACAATGATGCTGAAAACAATGTGGGATGTGCAGGAACGGGCGTACCATCTGCTGATGATCGCCAAGTCAATGATTCTGGAGTTGTACTCACCTGTGCGGCCACCTCGAACGGTGCTGCACAACATGGCATCACCTAACTCCACACTCACTCATGTGCTTGTAGCTGTGTACGCGGATCACTACAAGCACATGGGTGGGGGGGGGTGGGGTGTGGAGTGGATCTGGTGGCACAGGAGTGGGATATGGAGTCAAGGAGCATAAGGGGAAGACCTACTCACCAAGGATTGCCAATAGACAGGGGGAGCAGGCAGAAAGGATGAAGCGGTATCGTACGATTGGTTGCTGCAGATGAACGGCACCATCTGGGGGAAGGATGGAGAACATACATGGAGCACGCATTACTGCATACCTAGTGTGCATGTTTCTCTGCATATATGGAGTGCAGATTTCTGGGATACTTGGAGTTCGTCGGCATGCGCAACCCTCTAGCTGATGGAGTTCGGCAACTCTGGCTGCTACCGTATCTCTGCTGGAGTGTATGGGGAGCATCACAGGGCAACATGGGTGAAGTTTGAGCAAACTTGGCATCATTGCCAAGGCATGGGGAGAAAGGCATACAAAGATGCAGCAGGCACGAACAGGAAAATGATGCAACAAGCGCGCAACAGATCGTCAGCCGCTGACGAACGCAAGGTCGTCGCTTCTATCGCGCGAAGTGTGCGCCCGCCAATACGGTTCCGCGCCAGCCGTACGCCATGCGTTATCCGCTACCGATTCGCGTCATCCGCAACCGCGATCGTCGCAAACGCGCGTCAAATGTGGTCGTCGCGTGCGATAAAGCCTACGGTTTCAGAAATTCGGCGTCCGCTAAGGGCATTCCGCCATGACGATACGCGCATTCCGCCATGGTTACAAGGAGATTTCGCCATGGAGCTGCTACGATTTCCTCAGCAGCAGCCACTAGTCTCTAGATCTCGATCAAGAATGTCGAGATTGGAAGGAGGGATTGGAAAACGTGAAGGCATGTGGTTTGGTTGGAGTTTGGAAGGCCTAAGGTTGGGAGGGGAAAAGTGCTACAGTGACAAGCAGCTTGGCCAACACCAAACCCTAGCTTGGTTTGGACGCACCCCTAACTTGTGGTGGTACACCACTTCGACCACCCTATCCTCCAAGGAAAACGGATTCACCAAAACCTACAGCAAGGGGGAGTGTTGGAAAACCGAGTACAGTATAACGAATACTGTATACTGGTGTGCTGTTTGGTTTTAGTGTAGTACTCGTTATAAGCCTCCAGGTCCTACAATAATTGTCACAATTATTGTAGGTCAACAATTATTGGAGGTCAGCATTATTGGAGGGTAGAGGGTACAATTATTGGTACACCATTATTGGTGTGAATGGGTCATTCTGGAGGGGTAGCTGGATGCATATAAATACCCTGCTGTGTCACTTCTTCATCATCATTTTACCTTTCAATGATCAATGCAAGATTTCTATCTTGTTCTTTTCTACAAACACGTTTCCGCTACGCTGGCACTGTGCCTTTCTAGCACAACGACTTTCGCCCGCAGCAACAGGCGTGCGTCAGGTGTGCGGCAGGTCGAGGGCCGGATGGGCACTTCCAGCTAGAAAAAAACACGGGGACACGCAGTAAACGCTAGTGAGGATATACGGAGTGGAAGTGATGAGATTGAGAGTGAGGAGGAGGGGGGGGGGGAAGGAGGAGGAGGAGGAGGAGGAGGAGGAGGAGGAGGAGGAGGAGGAGGAGGAGGAGGAGGAGGAGGTGGTGGTGGTGGTGGTGGTGGTGGTGGTGGGCGTCGGTTGGCGCTGCATGGTTACTACTGCCACCCCTTCAACACCCCCCCCCCCTCTCCCCTCCACAGCGACAAGCGCGGCAAGGAGAGAGAGGAGGCGGTGGGTGGCGCTTGGCGCACCACGCTCACTGCCGCTACAGCAGTTGCAGGCGTAGCAGCAGCGGGGCCGACGGGGGGACGGGCCGCGGGGTCGACTGCTGGGGCACGACGGGAGGCCGAGAGGGGACTGCGACAACCATTGCGCAACACGTTGTCGCACCCCTGGCGACCGTCATGCAGCAGGCCGCGACAGTCGCAACAGGGCCAGCGCGCTGGACGGCACGCAACCACAAGGAGGCGCGACGGGGGGGCTGCACTCTGGAAGACCCAAGCTGTGGATATCAGACAGATCCTCTGGAAGAGCTACAGGTACACTCGCTCGGGTGTTATAGGCGTGCCCACTCACTATTTAACAAGCCCGTTTATCCGAATTGCTAGCTGTCAAAACATATATGTGTTAGAATCTAGAATCTAGAATAGAACGAGAATGCATGAAACTAGGTAGGAGGGGGATACAAGTAGGAAACCCTAACAAAGCTGTACCCCCTAAGGCTAAACCCACTATAGCCTACACAATATAAACATATAATGTTTGACACACCCCCATAGGCTAAGTGGGAGACAACCAGATGGTCACAAGACCAGTCAAAGCAAAGCAAAGCAAGCTCAGGGTGGATCTCAAGGAAACCACACAAATTCTGAGCACAAGCAAGTGGTCACAAGACCAGTTCACATGCAGGTTGATAGTATAACAAGAGATACAGTGATCACAACCTAGCAAGAGTAAACAAGCAGGTATATATACAGAGATCACAGTACAAGCAGAGTCAAGAAGTAAGCAAGTGAGGCCCAGTAGGCACGAGGCCTAGAACAGTACAGAAGCGCTGATGGTCACAAGGCTGAAGCGCCTTGGTGAACACATCAGCAGTGTTGGCCCGAGTGGCCACGTAACGCAGACGAAGCTGACCACGCTGCTGCAGCTCTCGAGCAAGGAAGTAGCGCAGAGCGATATGCTTCGTTCTGTGCTCCAGTCTGTGCTCCTCACACAAGGCAATGGCAGCCTTGTTGTCGACGTACAGCACTGGAGGAGAACGAGGCCGCTCTCCCGAGTCGGTCAGCAGGTAGGTGAGCCAGCGTAACTCCTGTGCAGCCATGGCTGTGGCGTAGATCTCAGCCTCACAACTGGAGCTGAGAACAGAAGACGAGCGTGTAGAACGCCAAGAAACTGAACCAGAGCCAAGGCTGAAGGTGTAACCCTGAGACGACCGCTGAGTAGCCTGGTCGTCAGCCCAAGACGCGTCTGAGTGCCCAGTGAGTACAACTCGGTCTCGTCCTCCAAGCACTAGCCCCATGCCCGACGTACTGCACAAGTAGCGCAACACCCTCTTAGCTGCATCCATGTGCTCCTTCCGGTGACGGCCAGGAGCGACATAGCGTGCAAGGATGCTAAGAGGGTATGCAAGGTCAGGTCGAGTGCAGGTCATCAGGTACATGAGGCAGCCCACAAGCTCTGGATACGGGCCACTCGGCTCTACGGACTCATCCGAAGGCAGAGCTGAGAGCGAGTGACCGGTAGGCAGAGGAGTGGGCTGAGGCGAGGAGTACGTGAAGCGGAAGCGCTGAAGGACCTGCTGCACCATGTGTGACTGAGTCAAGGTGATGGTGCGCCGTGCTCTGTCCCGGGTGATCTGCAAGCCAAGATAGCTTGTCAGTTCACCCAGGTCTGTGCACGTGTGTCTCTTCTGCAGCTCCGACTTCACGTGGGCGAGTGCCGCAGTGTCAGCAGTGGCAAAGACCAAGTCGTCGACGTACACGAGGATGTAGAACGGCGGCAGCGAGGTGTCGGTGCGTAGAAACAGCGACGGGTCAGCAGTAGAAGGAGCGAACCCAAGAGCCGCAAGTGTAGTCCTCAGTGTGTCGTGCCACTCACGTGGCGCCTGTCGGAGACCGTAGACTGGCCGCCGGAGGCTCCACTGGGTACCAGGAGGGAACGACCCAGTGAAGCCAGGTGGGCGGCGCAGCCAGATCTCCTCGTGCAGGCTGCCCTGTAGGAAAGCAGTGCTGAAGTCAAGATAGTGGAGCTCGTAGTCACGCTGAGCGGCGACGTGCAGCAGAACCTGAAGAGTGGTCATCTTCGGGGTCGGGGAGAAGGTCAGGAAGAAGTCAACTCCCTCTCGCTTACTGAAGCCTCGTGCAACGTAACGCGCCTTGAAGACAGGCGGAGAACCCGGCGGCCGCTTCACCCTGAAAATCCACATGCCACTGACGATGTTCGCCCCATGTGGGGGAACCTCGTCGACGTAGGTGCCTGTGGACTTCCAGGAAGCCATCTCTGCGTCCACGGCTGTCTGCCACTGAGAGGAGTAGGGACCCTCTATCGCCTCTGCGTAAGAGCGCGGAGTCGGGATGTCTGGTGCATCCGGGTCTCCCTCAGGGGCAACTAGCATGGACACGAGATGAGGTAAAGCAGCGGCAAAGCACTCAAACTCCTCCTGCCTGTCCTCAAGGACGTCCGTGCCAAGAGCACACTCACCCCCGACGGACGGAGGACAGACAGACTCAGACTCAGCAACTAGGCTAGCGGCGTAGTCTAGACGACAAGTGGCAGCAAAGTCGACAAGCTCGGCAACTAAGGCAGACGCAGCAGTGGACTCAAAGGAAGGGTCAGTGACAACAGTAGCCAGGAGACGCGTGACAGTAGGACTGGCAGCACGAAGGGAGTCAGACTCAGGGTCAGCAAGAGCAGGAAGAGAGGACGCAGGAGGAGACGAGAGAGGGACACGCTGGGGAGCAGTGGAAGGACGAAGCGCCATCTGGTGAGTGCCTGGGACAGCAGGAGGACGCTGACGTGGGACACGACGACCAGTGTGAGCAGCACGAACAGGCGACGCTCGACGAGACTCAGGCGACGCAGGACGAGACTCAGGCTCACGACGCTCCATAAGACCTCCAGTCGGACCAGTGTAAGGAGAAGGACCAGGGAGAGGGGAGTCAGACGGTAACTGTGACTGCGACTGGACAGACGGAGGACACTCTAAGGAGGGAGGAGGACAAGGAGGAGGAGGCTGACCAAGAACCTGCTGAAGGAGCGGAACGAAGTACGGCCGCGGCCGCGCAGCGACTCCAGAACCAGCAGAGACACCAGCGCCAGGATCCTCAGCACCAGCAGCAGCTCCACCTCCAGGGTCCTCAGCACCAGCAGCAGCTCCAACTCCAGGGTCCGCAGCACCAGCAGCAGCTCCGACTCCAGGGTCCGCAGCACCAGCAGCAACTCCAACGCCCAGGTCCGCAGCACCAGCCGCACCTCCAGAAGAACCAGCACCTCCAGCAGCTCCAGCAGCCCCAGCAGTACCACCAGCACCAGCAGCACCTCCAGTAGCGTCAGCAGCACCAGCAGCTCCAGCACCAGCAGTACCTCCAGCAGCGCCAGAAGCACCGCCAGCAGCAGAACCTCCAGCAGCTGGGTCCGCGACACTAGGAGCGCCACTCCGAAGACTGCAGCGCCGTGCGTACCACTCTCGGAGCCGCTGGGGAGAGGGCAGCTCCCGCCTAGGAGGGGAAGCACTAGCACCAGCTCCAGCAGTACTCCTGGCTCCAGAAGCACCTCTCCTGAGGCTGCAGTACTGTAAGTACCACTCACGCAGCTGCTGTGAGGAGAGAGCTCCTCCAGGTGTAGCACTCCCAGGCTCAGCACCTCCAGACTCAGCACCCCCAGACTCAGCACCCGCAGGCTCAGCACCCCCACGCTCCGCACCCCCAGGCTCAGCACCCCCAGACTCCGCACGCTCAGGCTCAGCACCCTCAGGCTCAGCACCCCTAGCAGGACGAGAGTCGACAGCTACCTCGACAGGCTCAACCGGGTCTACCTGGGACACACCTGAGGGAGCGGCACCCTGAGGGGGGAGGGGGTCTACCACAGCAGCACCTGGCGCGAGGAAGAGAGGCGGGGGGGGAAGCGGGGCAGTGCGGTAGGGGAAGAGGCGGTAGTAGGGGACGGACTCGTCGAAAGTGACGTCCTTAGAAGGCAGGACACGGCGCGCGGTGGGGTGGTAAAACTGCCAACCAGACGCGTCCGGGACAAAGCCAAGGAAGACACAAGGAACAGCGCGGGAGGAGAGCTTGTCCGCGGACGTATCGCGAACAAAGGCTCGAGATCCCCAGACCCGAAAGCGTGACGCATCGCCAACCTCTCCTGTCCAACGCAGTGTCGGCGAAGTCTCCGGAACGGAGACACGGGGCCAGAGGTTGAGCTGATGCGCAGCGTATCGGACTGCAAACGGCCACAGAAAGTGGGGGGCAGCCGCATGGATCAAGGAGGTACGAGCGACCTCCATGACCAAGCCAATGCGGCGCTCAGCAACCCCATTCTGCTGTGGAGAGGCCGGAAGCGTGAACGACTGGCGGATGCCGTGCTCCGCACAGTAGGCTGCCAAGAGGTCGGAGGAGAACTCACCACCTCTGTCAGAGTGCAAGCGCAGGACAGGAAAGTCCGAGTGGAAACGCTCGCTGAGCTGGAGACGAGAAGCGCTGATCCAAGGGATCAAAACATCAGGGACCTCACCCTTGGTGCGCAAGGGGAAGACCGTGGTGTAGCGCGAGTAGTCGTCAACAACTACCAGGAAGTACCTCTCCTAACCCTGACCACGGACGCGGGCTGGGCCCCACACGTCCATGTGGAGTGTCTGCAAGGGAGCAGTCGTCGGGGGAAACGAGGAGGAGTGAGGAGCGGCGCGCTGCCGCCCCTCGACACAGGGAAGACAGGGAGGAGCAGGCGAGGGTGGGAGGGGAGGGAGAACCCTGGGAAGACCAGAGACAAGGTACCGTTTGTGCATGGCACGAAGGCGCTGCACGGACGGGTGACCAAGTCGGTGGTGCCAGAGGACGGTCTCGTGCGCCAGAGAGCGACACGAGCAGGGGGCCGACAGCTGACCTGACGCAGACGCAGACGCAGCTACCTGAGGGGACTCAGTGGTCAGTGTGTACAGGTCCGACCCCGGCTGCCGAGTGAAGGTAGCCAGGTGACGGCCCGTCCGAGCACACGTGCAGTGTGTCACGCGCTCGTAGGCTGGGGTGAACTGGTGAACACCCCCGTCCTGGAGCGCACAACCCGCCACCAAGTTCGTAGAGAACGAGGGGAGGTGGAGACCTGACAGTGTGCCCGACGGGACCGCAGGACAAGGAAGGACAGTGGAGGAGGTCGCAATGACCGGACCCCCAGAGGGGTCAGCGAGGGAGACAGCAACTGGCCGAGCAAGCGGCTCAAGGGCAGTGCGGTCACGAAAGAAACAGCGAGAAGCACCTGAGTCCAGAGTGAAGGTGTGCAGTGCCTCAGTCGACTCAGTACCAGGGGGCGCAGACTCACGAGCACCTAGAGCAGCAGCCTCACCAGCACCTGGGGTAGCAGACACGCGAGTACCGGGAGTGGTAGCCTCACCAGCACCTAGGGCAACAGACGCACTAGCACCTAGAGCGGCAGCCTCACTCACAGGACACGGCAGCTGCACCTGTCCACTACCAGAAGCTCCCGAACGACGCACTCCAGAGCGACTGCCACTACGGCCACCCCGACAGCCCCAACTGACGTACCACTCACGAAGCTGCTGGGGCGAGAGAGGACACGGCAGCTGCACCTGTCCACTACCAGAAGCTCCCAACCGACCCACTCCAGAGCGACTACCACTACGGCCACCCCGACATCCCCAACTAGCGTACCACGCACGAAGCTGCTGGGGCGAAAGAGGACACGGCAGCTGCACCTGTCCACTACCAGAAGCTCCCGACCGACCCACTCCAGAGCGACTACCACTACGGCCACCCCGACAGCCCCAACTAGCGTACCACTCACGAAGCTGCTGGGGCGTAAGGGACTCACGCGCACGGCCCTGGAGCTGCATCTGGCCACGCCAGAAGCAGCAGTAGGAGCAGTAGCGGCAGTAACAGCAGTAGCAGCAGGAGCAGTAGCAGTGGGCGTAGAGAAGGCAGTAGCAGCAGTAGCAGCGGTAGCAGTGCTGGCAGGGCAATGCTCACCAGTGGTCGGCGCGGCAGGCGCAAGACGGTGGCGACAGCGGGGCCGCTACAACTGCAGGGCGGGGCCGGGCCGCAGCAGGGAGCTCCGCGGCAGCTGCTGCAGGGCGAGGCCGGGCCGCGACGGCAGCTGCTCCAGGTGCCAGGGGCGGCTGCTGCAGTGGCGGCTGCTCCAGGGGCCAGGGGCGGCTGCTGCAGCGGTGGTTGCTCCAGGGGCCAGGGGCGGCTGCTGCAGGGGCGGCTGCTCCAGGGGCGAGGGGCGGCTCCTGCAGTGGCGGCTGCTCCAGTGGCCAGGGGCGGCTGGTGCAGGGGCGGCTGCTCCAGAGGCCAGGCGCGGATTAGGTCAGGGCGATGCGGCGAGCAGGGCGACGCGGCGGGCAGGTGGCGACGCCGCGGGCAGGGCGACGCGGCGGGCAGGTGACGACGCCGCGGGCAGGGCGACGCGGCGGGCAGGTGACGACGCCGCGGGCAGGGCGACGCGGCGAGCAGGTGACGACGCCGCGAGCAGGGCGACGCGGCGAGCAGGTGACGACGCCGCGGGCAGGTGACGACGCCGCGGGCAGGGCGACGCCGCGAGCAGGTGACGACGCCGCGAGCAGGGCGACGCCGCGAGCAGGTGGCGACGCCGCGGGCAGGGCGACGCGGCGAGCAGGTGACGACGCCGCGGGCAGGCTACGACGCCGCGGGCAGGCGACGACGCCGCGGGCAGGGGCTACGTCGCGGGCAGGTGACGACGCCGCGGGCAGGCGGCGACGCCGCGGGCAGGGCGACGCGGCGGGCGGCGAGAGCCTGCAGGGGCGGCGCGCGGTCGGGCAGAGGCTGCGCGCGGGCCTGACGAGTCTGCAGGGGCGGCTCTCGGGCCTGACGGGCCTGCAGAGGCGGCTCGGGGGGGGCCTGACGGGTCTGCAGAGGCGGCTCGGGGGCCTGACGGACCTGCAGGGGCGGCTCGAGGGCGCACGAGGGCGCTCGAGGGCGCACGAGGGCGCACGAGGGCGCACGAGGGCGCACGAGGGCGCACGAGGGCGCACGAAGGCGCACGAAGGCGCACTAGCAGAGAAAGGCGCACGAGGGCGCACGAGGGCGCACGAAGGCGCACTAGCAGAGAAAGGCGCACGAGGGCGCACGTAAGGTAGGGCGCACGAGGGCGCTTCTAGCGGAATAGTGGGCCCATAGTAGAAAGCGGTCCTAGGTAGCAACCTAGGCTCGTGATACCATGTTAGAATCTAGAATAGAACGAGAATGCATGAAACTAGGTAGGAGGGGGATACAAGTAGGAAACCCTAACAAAGCTGTACCCCCTAAGGCTAAACCCACTATAGCCTACACAATATAAACATATAATGTTTGACAATATGTTTACATTTATCTAGGCTGTATTTGGGTTAGCCTTAGGGGGTACAAACACCTTCTTGACACTTTGCTTGTACCCCCCCCTTCCTTGACCTAATCACCATTCCTACTCCTTAATCTTAACATGGTTTTAGAGCACGTAGTTCTTTAGGACCGTATTTAGGAACAGTTTTTTTTTAGGGCCCACCGTTAGCTTCTGCCCCGAGTGCACGATAGCGCTGCCCTGGCCCCCACGATCACGCTGCTTCGCGCGTGCACTACTGCCCCGAGCGCTCACGCTGCCCTGCGTGCTGCCCTGCCCCACGTTTTCGCTGCCCCTCGCGCTGCCTCATGCGCTACCCCGAGCGCCTTCGCTGCCTCGCGCGCTGCTCGCCCGCGCTGCCCTGCACGCTGCCCAGCGCGCGCTGCCCCACTCTGCCCTGCCCTGCCGAGCTGCTGCCCTACGCTGTTGCCCGCAGCCGTCCGCACAGCTGCGCGCTTCTGCGCTGCCCCGTGCTGCCGCCAGCGCAACTGCCTGCTCTTCCCCCCCTCTTTGCTGTCGCTCGCGCTGCACAGCGCTGCCGCCCAAGCTGCTGCCCACACTGCTGCGTTGCTGCGCTGCCGCCCAGCTCTGCCGCCCAAGCTGCCGCCTGCTGCTGCTGCATTGCCACCACTGCTGCAGCTACAGCCGCTGCAGCCGCTGCTACTGCCCCTACAGTTGCTGCAGCCGCCATTGCTGCCATTGCTTCAACCGCTGCTGCCATTGCTGCAGCCGCCTTTGCCTCTATAGACGCTACTGCTACTGCTGCAGCCGCCCTTGCCACTGCAGCCGCCATTGCTGCCGCTGCTGCAGCCGCTACTGCCACTGCTGCAGCCACCTTTGCCACTACAGCCGCTATTGCCACTGCTGCAGCCACCCTTGCCGCTACAGCCGCTACTGCTACTGCTGCAGCCGCCCTTGCCACTTCAGCCGCCATTGCGGCCGCTGCTGCAGCCGCCCTACCCGAACTGCTACGTGCCAAGCCGCCCTGCCGAGCCGCCCTTGTCGAGCCGCCCTGCCAAGCCGCCCTACCGAGCAGCCCTGCATACCTGCGCCGTCCGGGCCTGGCATTGCCCCTTGTTCCTAGTACTGCCTTCTTCGTCACTGTCGCTAGGCAGCGCTGCTCACTATGGCGACACCCACTGTACTGGAGTTTGATGCTGAGGGTAGCCCGATCGATTACGAGTCCTGGCTAGAGTGCCTTCATCTTTACCTGCATAGAGTTACCAGGGACGCCGTCTCTCTTTTTTAGCACACCTTAGGCTCCCTTCCGCCCCCACTCACTCCGACTGAGTCTGCCCCTACTGCGCGAACAGATGCACAGCAGAAGTATAAGGCTGACCGCGTGGCTAGTACACACTGGTTAGCATGCGACGCCACTGCCACCCTTGCAGTCCGCAACCACCTTCTGCCCAATCAGAAGTCCCACTTTCGCCAGCTGAAAACGACCAAAGTGCTCTATGACGCTGTAGTGAAGCGCTACTCCTCCCCCTCCTCTGCCGCCCTAGGCCGCATGTTGCTGCCGTACCTCTTTCCTAAGTTGTCCGACTTCCCCATTGTCGCTGACCTCATGACCTATCTGCGCACCAGTGACACTCGCTACCGTGCTAATCTCAAGCCAGGTTTTCTGATGTACATCACTCTCTACTTCCTAGTGACCCGTCTCCCTGACTCCTTCGCCCCATCCGTGACCACTTTCTCGCTCTAGACCCCACCTAGCTCACCCTTGCCTCGTTTGAGTCCCGTCTCCTTGAGGCTGAGACCAGTGGCACTCCGCGCCCCTCCTTCTTTGAGGCCTACGTTGTAGCTGCCTCCAGTGGCACTCCGCGCCCCTCCTTCTTTGAGGGGTGTTCCCCTTCCCTCCTCGCGCCTTCTGTCGCCTCAGCGGCTGCTGTTGACTTCCTCGGTGCTGAGAAGGCCGGTGGAGCGTCCGCTCCTAGCAGGAGGCGCAACAAGAGTGGGCGCCAGAAGGGTAAGGGCGGTGGGGGTGGTGGAGGTGGTGGTGGCGGTGGCGGGGGTGGGGGTGGGGGTGGGGGTGGTGGCGGTGGCGGTGGCGGGGGCGAAGGAGGTGGGAGTGGAGGTGGAGGTGGCGGGGGCGGTGGACATGGCGGGGATGGTGGAGGCACTGAGGGTAGCGGAGGGGGCTCGGGTGGTGGTCGAGGTGGAGCTAGTGGTGGTGGAGGCCAGGGGGCTATGTCTCGGGGTGCAGCTGGTGGTGGCGGTGGTTCTGGGGGTGGGCAGCAGCAGCAGTCGTGCCGGAAGGAGACTCTCTCGCTGCAGCAGCTTTGTGAGCGAATTGCCCAGCGAGGTGGCAGAGGTGGTGGTGGAGCTCGCTGCCAGTACCGCCGGCGCACGGGTTGCCCTGGAGAGGTCTGCGGCCGGGAGGGGCACACAGAGGCACGCTGCTTCTTCCGCCTCAACGACGTGTGGCGCGAAGAT